AGTATAGTGATTTCAGCGCGTAGATGTCCTGGAATGCGTTTGTGTTTCGTTTCAAGAAACCCAATGTGGCGAATGCTTTAGCAGTTATCATGGAGATGTGCTCATTGAATCTGACTTTAGAGTCGATGATAACACCCAAATCCTTAACTGAAGAAACGAAGAGCAAACTACTGAGTCCTATCATATAGTCATGTCGTACGGATTCGCGTGAACGGCTAAAAGATATTGCGCAGCATTTTGTGACATTAACCTGCATACCGTTAAATGTACACCAGCGCAAAAGGGAATCAATATCCTTCTGGAGTGCGCAACAGTCAAGTCTTGACTTAATTGTACGAAAGATCTTTAAGTCATCGGCGAACATAAGTTTCGAAGAACACAGTCGGCTACACAGATCGTTCACGAACAGGTTGAAAATTAAAGGCCCCAAATGGCTACCTTGGGGAACACCAGAGGGTATCTCGAAACTAGGCGAATTAACACCGTTAATGCTCACATAGGCTGAGCGGTCAGTTAAGTAAGACTGTAGCCACTTCGTGGCTCAATTAGGTAATCCCATACACCTCATTTTGTCCACTGCAAGCACCTGTGGAACCCTATCGAACACAGCAAAAAAATAATTTTGATATCACGTCAAAGTGGATGCACTACAATCATGTCGAAAATATGGTGTAATATTACTTGCTAAAAAGGACAAAATTATCATTAATACAATGCATGAACTGACATTACGCTGCTTTTACTGCATTTGTTTATTTATGTGGTCATAAAAATTACATGAAATTTTCGACATGATTGTAGTGCATCCACTTTGATGTGATATCAAAATTATTTTTTTGCTGTGAACGCCTTACTGAAGTCCACGTAGATCGCATCAACTTGTCGTCGTTTTTCAATGGAGTTGATCAGCGAGTTGACAAACACCATTAAGTTGGTTGTTGTAGAGCGTTTCCTCACGAAGCCGTGCTGATGTTCGGTAATTATTGGCCTAACCGCTTGATATACGACCTCATATACGATCTTCTCCAGAGCTTTTGGGAGGCAGCTTAGAATCGAAATTCCGCGATAATTTTCAACGTTGTGGATGTTTCCAGCTTTGTGAATAGGTGTGATGGACGCAACCTTCCACATTGTGGGGAAAACACCACTAACTAGCGAACGATTGAAGATAATCGACACAGGTGAAGCGAGAGATGCAGAAAATTTCTTAATGAACGATGGCGGCAAACAGTCTGGACCAGGGCCTTTAGAGGGATCTACAGATAAAAGAACTTTCATCACCTCTTCAACAGATACATCCAACTGCGGCAAATGCAAGTTGTAATGAGCTATGCTGCTCATCCAGTCACGACGATCATCCGGAGAATGAGCGGGAGGGGTAGTCGAAAAAACATCCTTGAAGAATTTTACGAAGAGATCAGAAGCTTCTTCCGCGGAGTCAGCACGAGCTTCTTTATAGGACACATCTAGTGGTATACCGCCATTCCGCCTAAGTTTCTTCACGTAGGTGCAAAAAGGCGATGGATCCCGCTTTGCCTCAGACTAAATGCGCAATACATATTCATGGAAAACTGTGTTCAACCGGCTGGTGTAGTGCTCCTCCATGTCGTGAAGTAATCGCCTGTTTTCCTCAGTCCGTTGTTTGAAAAGACGTTTCCTTGCTTTCCGTAACCTGTTTCGGAGGTTCCTAAGTTCCGTGATCCACCATGGTTGATTGTAGTGAACACGGAGGTAATGTCGTCGAATAGGAGTATATTCGTGGATGATATCGAAAATGGCACCATAAAACCGGAAAACAGCATCGTCAACGTCACAATCAGTCAAAAGAGTCGTCCAGTCTATCGAGCCTATCCGGGCGTTGATAAGGGGTTCATTGCAGAAGTTGAAATCGTAATAACAGCGGTCCAGCCCAACGTCGTCAGTATTACGAAGGTAGTCAAATTTGATGATAAAAGATTTGTGATGAGCGTCGAGTTTTAAAATTCCACAGGGCGATTCGAAAAGTTCGATTCTGTTAGTATCACTAACGAAAGCCAGGTCAAGTAATCTCTCGTTTACGTTACGTACATCCTGAACCTGCTGTAATCCACATGCAAGGATCGACTGGGTCAGAGCGTCAGTCTCCCAAAACTATGACTGTATCGGTAGTTTCAGCAAGCTCACACAATTCTTGAACACAAGATGCATGATTGGAGTACATGGCGCAGAACGAGTAGACGCAACATATGTAAACCGACTGCATTGGCAACGAAACACACACGGCCACTTGCTCTAAACAGTTGGCATTAACTAGTGAAGCCAACTTACAACGTAAATGCTTTTTGACACCGATCAGTACGCCGCCACCACGTAGCAGTTTAGATGCGGCTGGATTCCGATCGAGACGATAAATCACATAGTCGGACGAGAGTTCAGAGTTTAATATGTCGCTGCCAAGCCACGTTTCGGTCAGCGCAATGACGTCATAGTCACAAGATGATAATGCCAAACGAAGATTGCTAGTTTTAGTTCTTAATCCGCGGACATTCTGGTAAAAAATTGTAAGGGGGAGCGCATCTGGTGAATTCGGACGATGAATTGCTTGAACCTTTTTTGCGGCACTAGAGCAAGAGCCTACCTGCTCGCATTCGCTGTCTCGAAAGCTGACGATGGTAGTGGGTTCAATAGGACTGGCTTTAAAAAATCCCGTTTTTTACCAGTGTCTTCGAACTCCCGGAATCTTATGCCAGAGTGTCCAAACACATTGCTTTGGATTTCAGATCCGCTGCCATCCCAACTTTGTAGGACACGAAAGTTAGGGAACGTACGTCTTTGCCACGAGGAACTAGTTTAATTACAGTGGTATCACTCGTTCTCAAATTTGAGCGCACCATACACGTTACCGGTTCATCGCTGGCATCTGGATGAATGTTCGACAAGTACAGCCAGAATTTGGATCAGTCTCTTGATTGGCAGTTGCTGCAACAAGGTTGGGCTCTGGACAAGCGCCTGTTTCGCAAAGAAGCTTCGATGGACGATGCAAAGAACCATCAGCTTCGTCATTTTCAACTTCTCGTTGTCTTTTAGAGCGAACGGAAGAAATAGACGGGAAATAGCTGAAACATATTCCGGTGAGTATGGATCTTCATCAGACCAGAGCTTTTCATAAACGTACCAATAAGAGTCATGATGAGTAACCAGCACCATATTGGCCACACCCGGACATGTTCCGGGTATCCCCGGAGAAGTGGTAAATCCTTTTTAAATCAAAATCCATCAAGCGATACATCAAATCACATGAGAATGGCGGTCAAACTGAGTATCGTAAGAACTATATTGGGCACATCTGGACATGTTCCAGATACCCTAGGGGAAGTGGAAAAAATCTGTCTTGAGACAAATCTCATGATGTCGTGATGTCGTGTTGTCAAACAATTTTAATTCTATAGAAGCAATCCTAAAAACATATCTCCCAGATTGTTTTATAGTTTATTTACTTACTATTTTTTACTAATGGGAATGACTTGGGGTTACTTTTCGCTGTGGGACAATTTGACTTAGTATTGTTTTTTTCATTTTTCTTGGTGGTTTTTCAATAGAACTTCTCAAAAAACATAGAAAGATAAACTGAATATTGATGCTAACTCAAAATAGATAAAAATGCAGATCGGACTGACTTGCGATTACCGGCAGTATATTAACGAAATGTGTGCCATAAATTATTTTACTTTGACGATCTCCCATCAAAAACTAATCCATGTCATTATACTGCAACACATTGGCCATATGGCGACATTGGAATAAATTCCGAAAGCCCAGCGTAAAGTGATCATTTTCAACTGCCACAGAAACCTAGCGATCGATGTTTCCCATTTTGGCGTTATACCCACAAAAAATACCACCCTCTTACCAAATTCTCCAATTTGTACCTGACTCATTACTTCTGTTTTATTTTTCATGATCCTATACAAATTTTTTTTTTTATCAGTCTGTATCAGAGGTTTTCAACAGAAGGGGAATGCACTTCCTGGGGGAATGTAGCTATACAAGCCTTAGTGAGTGCAAGAGGGCTTTTTTGAGAAGGGTACAAGGAACGGCAAAGCTTGAAAACCACTGGTCTACAGACACCACAGACCTACAGACACCAATGAAAAAAAAACAAAAACTACTGGTTCGTTTTCTAATAAAATCGTGCAGTAAATCTTGATAACAGCGACTCACGTGACAAGTAAAAATCAAACACAGATGCAACCTTAAAATATGTATACCTAGTTTCTGCAAAACGATTAGTACGGAAAAGTTGAATGCAATGCATCAGGTTGTTTCATAATGATTTAGGCTGCACATTAAGAACCATTTGTTGCAATACAGCTGGGAAATCAACTGTATATTTTTTTTTAATGTGATACAAAGTTTGCCAACCATAATTATTAATTCCGAAGAGTAAAAACCCAACCGTTTCCATTTCACACTTTATAGAAAATCTATCAAGGCTATAGATATTTTAGCGATAGCATTCAAAATGGGTTTTGATCCCAACAAACAATGTTAGCTGCAAACTAGGTTATACAGGCAAAAATTAGCGGTATAAGCCAATGTTTGCCTGTATAAGCTAATCTGCAGCAAAAATTGTTAGTTGGGATGTCACTAACATAATTGCAAATAGATTCTTCCTTGCAGTAGCGGCATGCTACCGTTGCAACTTTGATGCTACTACATAAATTCCCCAGGAAGTATCCAGAACATAAAGTTTTCCAACTAACATATTTAGCTTCTTTTTATATCGATACGGAAACACTGGTCTATGAAAGCGACTAAAAGCATAAAAGCTCCGACATGCCGGCACATAAAACTGCATGGTTTAGTGGATGGATGCTGATTCGTGCATGGGATGCTGTTAGCTCTGTGTGGCTGCATCAACCATGATGCTGGGGTAATATACGAGGGACAGGTGAATAGAAATGCAATAAAGGAAGTGAACGTGACTTTTACGTCTATGTACAAAGGAAAATCGAGTTTACCTGCAGTGGCGATGACGGTAGAGACCCACGATCAGCCGGATCGCTGATACATTCCGATTCCGTATTTTCCGGGCTCATCTGCTGTGGAGGCAACATGGGCGCAGATGACGATGGAGTGGTGGATTGTGATTGCTGGATATGGTCACAACGAGGAGGATGTGTTTTTTTTTTTTTTTGTGGATGTTAGTTGAGACGAGTCAAAATTTTGTATTAGTATCAACATTCAATTAGCGACATGAAGGGGTGAGAAAAAGACATTAATGTGAATCACAAACTAAAATGTAGATTAAATGAAATTGTTTTAGACAACACTCTGTGGTTTAGCCTAACAATCACAAGTGAGTGATACAGGCGCTAAAGTACTCATGTAATAACAACTTTAAAACGAAATACTCACTTCGACGATCGGGCTTTGATTGCGGTACTGTTGTGGAGGTTGTTGTTGTTGTTGCTGATGACTATACGTTGTAGGTGGATCCTCATGGACCTCATGTTTTGGTTGATGCTGAGCGACCGGCGCTCGCATTGCTTCCGATACTTCCTCCGGTGTAACATCTACATTGTCTAATTTTTTAAGATTTGGCAATGCTCGCAGTACAATCTGTCGATAAGTTGGGCCAGCACTAGCCACCACAGGGTTTTCTTCCAGCCACAGGTGTTTAAGCTTCGGTAGATTCTACCAAACATCACAAACATTTAGATACCATAACAAGTTAATGATTACTTTGCACAATATACCTGTAAAAAAACCAACTCATCGATGTCAGTGATGTTATTTCTTCTGAGGTACAGCTCCTGAAGATTCAAACAATTCTCGAAGTCTGCTAGCGTGCTTATTCGATTAACACTGCAAAGAGAAATACAAAAATCTCAATTAATTATTATGCATTAGGAACTGTGAACCGGAGTCGATATCCCCCGACCATGAATTCATAATAGAGTTACTTTCGTTTTCATTCCTTAGGAAATGATATGCATCCTATCGTTTATCACAACATCCGTGCTTGTTAGGCTACGTGGAGGAACATATATAGTTACAGTGACTATTGACTTTTAAATCGAGCCAACAACGATCAGCAAAACGCTCTAGCGCTAGTTAACGGAATGAGCCAGATATAAATGGAAGCACAGCTGATTCATAAAACTGTAGAAACTACCTTTAAATTGTTTTCTATTACTCGTTTTCCTTTGTCTTGATACTTTGTTAGATTTTAATCTATTCTTATTGCTACGCCGCCGTGGATGATACCGGTGATTAACATTAATATGCAAGAGTGCAACGATGCGAACCCATGCAATTTCGCAAACCAACGGCCTTTAGCTGTCTGATGGTTGAAAAAACGACTCCACTTGGGTTCACCATTGTTTGTACATGAAAAGCCCATGTGGTCCCATGATAATGATGCTTAACCTTACATGAGTTTAATTATTAAATTATAATTCAACAATGATATTAAATTTTCTTAATGCAGGACTAACGGTTTTAAAGGAGATTGTTAACCAGTTTACTTCCAATGATTTTTCTTCAAAATATGATGGTTGGGTATACCTAATGTTTGATATCTAGCAATGCTTTAACACCAAATGGCTCCATTTAATTAATCTTATCTTTTAAATCGACTTTTCGCTAGCTTTTACTGTAAGTTTAATTTGCTTTTCCGCTATGTAAAACAACTTCAATTTAAACTCGAAATCGAACTATACTAGTGTTGATCCCACAGCCTAAGCCCGAATATTGCGTGCCACTAGTATACTTATTCGCAATTCCAAGTGGGATAAATGAATGAAAAGCTAACAGTAAAACGCCGACGATTATTATCATCTGGCAATGTGGGCAAGTGGAGAATGGCTATGATTTTAACTACATACTACTCAAGCCCAAGCGGTTGCAGACGTAAGAGTGAAAGTGTTACACACGTATAATGGCTCCCGGCGATGGGAAATGCCTCGGGAAATGCAGGCTTTATAATTTCTTATCTGCGTTATTCCATGCCTGCTTGCTACTAGCTATGAGCAAGCTTCATGATGCCGAACAGGCATTCATAGTCCATGAAACGGCATGAATTCCGTTATTTCATCATCATCATCATCGCTGTGAAACTTGCAACGACCTTATTGGGAGATGTGGACGAAACGATTTTAAAACTGACTCTTGTTGCTCACCTACGCTACACGATTTGGTTTGGAGTGGAGCTTGGAGCTCTGCTAGAGTTACAAGAAAGAAAGAAGCCGAATAAACCCCACACTGGCCATTCCTACCGCAATCGTCCGCATTGGTTTTGAACCATGACCTTGCTTGTGCCTCCGCTGAAATAAGTTCACACCGGATTACTTTTGTAAGGAAATTAGAAGCACCAGCGTGGAAAATGGTAAACCTCTTATAACCCACAAAAGACGACGATCGTTAGCGTCTTTTCTACACTCAATCAAATAGTGTTGCATGTTAGCAGGCGATAACGGCATGGCGACATAGTTTAATGTACAGCTTTACTACGATTTTTTGTACGGCTGAATACCGAGAAAAAAATTTCTTTTCATTCATGTGGTTTTCACCTACATCGGGCAGTCATCCTGTTTTATTTTTTATTTTGCATAGAGTTGAATTGAAGCTATTGTCCATTTCGAGGAGGTGGGATGATGTCAAAAATTGACGTGACTCGTGAACTCTCGTGGTTTACGGGTATTTATGTGAAGGTCAATATTGTTTTGACGAATAGGTACTTAAGATTAGCACTAGTAAAATTGTTCCTCATTATAGTTCTAATGTTAAAGAGAATTTGTACAAATTTGCAGAGAGTAACTTCTTGAGCCTTGGCCTTAATGTTCTTTGAGCATTTTCTCAGTCGCTTGCTTACGGCTGCATGATGTTTGTGACAAACTCAAAGATATCGTGATACCCAGTAGGGCAATCCAAAAGATCGATTTAGCTCGGTACCCCTTAATCAATTACGACCAGTGCTGAACTCTTTTATTGTCATTGAAACATTTCACGTGATATTGACAAAATTATGTTTGAATTGGAAGAACATAAACCTTCATCAAAATCTAATTAATTTTGCGTTAGTTAGAACAAAGATTCATTTGGTAATAAAAAGTGCCAGTTCGTGCATTGTTATTAATATTATTAATTTATTTTGATATTTAAATTGGTCCTATCTTACTGAAATCTTATAAACTACTTAATACAACAACATTACGTAATGTTTAACGATATCAATGAAACAAAAACAATTGACAAGAAACAAAAAAAAACATTTAAGCCACTTCACATTCACTTGAAGACATACACACTTAGAAAAATTTATGTAAATTTAGGTGCTCTGAGACTGACATATACGAGCGTCAATTTTGACATAAAATTGAGTCACAATAGACGCAAAATTCAGCTCAATCAAACGTACTTTTAGTCGAGTAAAGAACTTTTCAGTCTCGGGGCACTTAATTTTACATGATATGTTTGTTTACGTCTCATTCTTTATGTCAGAGATGGATTCCGTCACGTTTAAAATTAGTTATTTCTAAGTGTGTATAAACAAACATTATTAACTAAAATTTAACTGAATAACTTGTTTAGATTACTGTTTTGGCTACACATGTTGCACAATTGCACAAACTCCCCATAGCATTATTGTTAACCCTGCAGTCAAGAATCTAGGTGATTGTTTGCTTTGCCAGCTCCTTGGTATACAGAGTTGGTTTGAAATGCTACACACTTAGAAATTCTTAATCTTACACGTGACGGAATCCATCTTTGACATAAAGGATGAGACATAAACAAACATGTAATGTAAAATTAATTGCTCCGAGACTGAAAAGTTCGAAATTACGTTTGATTGAGCTGAATTTCGCGTCTATTATGACTCAATTTTCTGTCAAAATTGACGCTCGTATATGTCAGTCTCAGAGCACCTAAATTTACATCAATTTTACTAAGTGTGTATCTAACATGAAGCTTTAGTGTGATAATTTATTAGCTAGAGAATGATCTTAGAAGAGGGTAGGTAGATAGTTCCGTTAGAGTACGGCAGTATGAAAATTGAATAGAAGTTGAAATTGAGCGAAGGGCCAAATGCGACAGTGCAAGTCCTTGTTATAGTTTTGCTTAATTCACTTCACTTCGTTAGAAATTCGGCTGATAACAAAACCGTAAATGTGTCGTGTATCTAGATCTTCTGTGGCACCTGTATATAAGGCGCCTAGGTCACTTTGCGCAATAATGCTTCACGGATAAGCTTGATATTTGCGTTTACACGGAATTTTCTCAGTTACAACTTTGTTGAAGACCTCTTTTTGATTGTTCGGCATGAAAATAAGATATTGATGGAATGTAACGACGATAACTTTCTGATAAGATTAATCGACTTTGAAGGTACACGCTCGTTTACGCTCAGTTGGAGCAGGTATACGACGGCTGTCCTCAGCGGGAAAACGGGAGGCAACGTAAAGACCGGTAATCTGGTCTATCAGTCTGTAAGCCGTATCGAACGAAAACGGCAAACGATGCGTGAACTTTGACGCCTCACTTGGAATGATAATCCGAAACAACCTGATCTATACAAGATATGGAGATCTAGCCCTCACATATGTATGTGTTGGTAGAGGGAAAAAGGTAAACATTGCGGGAGAGGATGGTCACGACGTCATAACACTCGAAAGCAAATTTGCGAAATATGAAGTTAAGCTAATCCAAGCAATGTTTGCATGATGATTGCGCTTGATTGTATTCTTTTGTAAAGTCTCCGCGAGGTATTAGCTGGCGGACGAAAAATCAATGAGATATTGATAAGCGAAATTTTTTAACTTCTATAAATATTTGAGTTGGTATCAACTTCAAATTACTTCTAGCGAGAAAGAAAATTAACGGCTGTAGTAAAACATTATATCAGTGAATTTTTCGAATTAACTTAACAACAAAATTACAAATTCTCATTACTGATCATTACCAAACGTATCCCATGACAATTTAAAGCTCACTGCGTGTTTATGATCGTTTCTTCGATTATATTTTATATTTTAATTTTATGATCGTTTCTTCCATTATATTTTATTTTTTTTTATTTTATATATTATATTTTAATATTTTAATAATTTAGTTTCCAATGACATTGTCAAAAATAATTCTGTCAATATCGCTTGAAATTCAAGCATAACTTTTCAAAACGACGTATGTAACTTTGGATAGGAAATTAGAAACATTGGATAGCAATGTCTATATGAGATTATTAAATGCTATTTAAAAGTTAATGCTATTTTTTTAAATCTGTTTGTGCCATTAGTTGAATAAAGGGATAGCGTTTAAGAGAATTGTGAAAAATGTCGAGTTTTGCAAACACGGACAAGACTTTTGATAAAACAAAATCATACACCTTTTACTTGTGTACTACTCACATACACCCTGATTGATTCGTCGGTATCACACCTTGATTGTTACATACACCCTGCATGATTCGTCTATTTGACAGAAGGGTTTTCACATACGTCAAATCAGATACACCGGTTTTTGTTTTGCAGTGAAGATACGTCGGCAGCTCGAAAAGCATTGAGGAATTGTCGGTTGGTTGGTTTATTAACATAACTACCCAGAGTTGTGAAATAATCGATATTAAAAGCGGAGATGAGAGGGTCACCGCATTATCTGCTGTCAGATGTTATACGTTTTGTGTTTTTCGTATTAAGAAAGCGCTAGTCAGATTGGTATGTGAAGTTCAATATTAAAGTCAAGATTAAAGTGCAATTTTATTAGAATACTTCTGAAATAATAAACATGTTGCTCCCGGAAATACAAAAACAAACATACAAACTTGGCGCATTTGCTGATTGATAGTGGTTACTTTGTTTTTTCACATA